CTCACTTGGGGATACCAACACCTATGAGTCAATTTTTAGTAGAATGTAGTAAGTACTGGGATAAGATAAGTTGATGTGTTAGGAGACCATAGTGGAAGGCAGTTAAGAGAATCTGTGACAGACAGGGCAAGATTCTTAAAGGGCATGGCATTTAAAGTACATCTCAAAAAGCTGGCAGAAATAAATCAGCTAGAGGCAGGGGTATGAATGGTAAAGGAATTCAGAAGAAATGGCATCCCTTCCTGGTAAATAGTACATTAGGGGAAGCTGAGTGATGTACTGATAGGTATTTATGGGAATAGTGTTTCTGGAGCATCAAGTTCAAGGTAGGAAGTAGGGAGAGATGAGACTGCAATGAAGTCTCCTATCTTGGAAAGTTGTATTACACTTTAGGGAACATGGATTTTACTCATAGGTAATAAAGAGTTATTGAGGAATAGTGAAAGTAGTAACTAATCAAACAGTTATTTACATTATTAACAAAAATGACTTGTATAGTTAATATATGTTAATAATCCCACAATTTATTTTATGATAAAAGTATAGCCTCGTTTCATATCAAAGCTTCTTAGCAGACCTATCCACAAGTAGCAAAATCAACAATATTAATGAATATCCATTAATTTTCTCCCTTCATTCAGATACAGAGTTTATGAATGGACTAGGTGGTTAACTGGAGAAAAGAAAAGACAGAACAAGTAGGCTCAGTCTTAATTTATTACACCAATAGTACTATTTTAGTATAAGACTTTAATATATATTTCTATCCCCTAATAGTGGATCGAACAGATAGGAACATGAGAGTATAAAAATAATACTAGATATTATGGTTCTTGTGTTGATCTCTTCCATTAATTAACTGAATGACTGTGGCAAGTACTTAATCATCTGGTTCTCAGGGTTTTTTTTGGTACTGAGGATTGATCTCAGGTGCGTTTAATCGCTGGGGCACATCCCTAGCCCTTTTTTGTATTTTATTTTGAGACAGGATCTCACTGAGTTGCTTAGTGCCTTGCAGTTGCTGAGGCTGGCTTTGAACTCCCAATTCTCCTCTAAGCCTCCCAAGCCACTGGGATTAAAGGCGTGTGCCACTGTGCCTGGCCAGGTTTTATTAGTATAAAATTAAGGGGATTAGATCACATTGTTTGAATTAATTTCACTTGTAAAATGTTGCCAGTGATTCTAAAGTTCTCTGAGACAGAGAAGGGGAGGATAGAGAAAGTGTGTTTTAGTTATCTATTTTTGCATAACAAATTACCTAAAATTTAGCAATTTAAAACAATATTTATTATCTCACAGTTTCAGAGGATCAGAATCTGGGAGTAATCTGGCTTAGGTATTTCATGAGATTGCAGTCAAGTTATCAGCCAGGGCTGAGGTCTTCCAAAGAATAGACTAGGGATGAAAGATCTGCTTCTATGAGCACTCCTGTGGTTGTTGATGGGTCTTAGTTTCTAGCAGATTGCTGGCCAGAGCCTTCTACTTGGCCATATGTATGTGGACCTCTCCACAGGCTTACTGAGTGTCCTTGTGATATGGTAAGTGACCTTCCCCAAACTGAGCAAAGAGAGAGACAAGAGACAGAGAGAGACTTCACAATGGAAGCTGAAATATGGGACAACATCATTTCTGCCTTATTTTATTGGTCACACAGAAGTGCACTAAGTTGGTTGTGCGAAACAAACAACTTCATTCTGGAACTGTAGAGCTCGAAAGAACCCCTGAGATCATCTAGACCAGAGATTTTGACATGAAATTTGCCAATGGTCCTTAGTGAAACTGATTAAAAAAAAAACTATACATAAAATATTGGGGAAGGAATTTAGAGCTTTCACCAGAGTCTGAAAAGTATCTGTAGTTGTCCAAAAAGTCTAAAAAGCACTAATATAGTCCATCATGCTTGTTTAATTGGTAAAGAAACTGAGTCACAAAGAAGATAACTTTTCAAAAATCACACCATGAATTAATAGCAGTAGTGGTTTGGACAACAACTGAAGCCTTCTGCTTTTCAGCTTAGCAGAATGCAGTGTTAGTATAGTTTATAACACCAAAAGCCTAACTGATTTTCTTCTGTTCATATATACTACTGCTATGCAGATTATTTCCCTTTTGGTCCCCAAAAATGTTAAAAAGTGGATATATCTTATATAAGTCCAGTCATGCATCACATAGCAATGCTCTGGTTAATGGCAGACCATGTATACCATGGTGATTCTAAAGATTACAATGGAACTCAAAAATTCCAACTGCAAAGTGATACCATGGCTACCAAGGTTGTAGTGCAACACATTGCTCATGTTTTGTCTGGTGTGAATAAGTCTACTGTATAAACTGTCCTATAAAAGTATAGCACATATAATTATGTGTAGTTCAAAATACTTGACAATGATAATAAACAACTATATTACTGTTTTATGTATTTATAATACTGTATCATAATTTTTATTGTTATTTTAAAGTGTACTTTTTATACTTACAGAAAAAAGTTTGCTGTGATTCAGTATGCTCTTATGCCAGCAGTGGCCTCAGATACCTCGTGTTTACTGAATTTCTTGATGGCATTAAGAAGTCACATTGAGTGACTGCCCTGTACCATTTAGGTTTGTTCATATAACAATGAAATTTCCTACTTATACATTTCTCAGTATTCCCATTGTTAAATGATATATTACTGTGAAGGTATCTTTAGAGGGGGGTGAAGATTGTATCATAGTGTTTACAGTGTTAAAACCCAGTGTTTCTATATAGGAAAAAATCAGAAAAATAGACTGTAGTTGGTTATTCACGATTTAAGTTCAGATACTCAATTGAAATTGCAACCATATAATATTTCAGTTCCCTCACTAGTTATATAAAATTCACTAAAATGTACTTTTTGGTATGCAGTCAGATGAGTAAAAGTAAGATAAACTGAATTAGTGTTAAAGTATTAGGTTTCTCAATCCACATAATTTTACATAAATTATGAATTTTCTCCTTACTAGAATAGATGTTATTTTCCATTTTTTATGTATAATAAAATTATGGTATGTTTTAAATGCCAATGTTTAATTAAATGATCTTATTTACTATTTTTAAAATAGAGATAATTAGCATATGACAGTTGGGCATAGGTTGACAACAATTTCACTGGAGAAGGTGTCACTCATTGATAAAAGTGGGAACATATTTTTAAAAATTTGGAACCACTAATAGAAAATCTTAATTGAATGTCACATGGAATCAAGAGGCAATTCAGTTTAGTTCATTAGGGTTTAAATTAAGAATGTAAATCAATTCAGTACTTATGGAGGCACATCTAATGTAGAGGTAATAAAGGGTACAAAGATAAATTTATAATTTTTTTATTTTTACCTTTAATGTGTTTCCATAGGAAATAACTTGGTAAATTCTGAAAGTTACTAATAAGTTTTATTTAAACAAAGGAGAGGTCACAAGAGTGAAAGAAAACACTTTCAAGTGCAACAAAGAAGATGGAGGGGACAGAGTAGAAGAATTAGGAAAGTAAAATTTCTTGGAAAAGGTGTGTTTGTCCAAAATGGGGGATGGGTTTGGGTGAAGGATTTTGATAGAGAGCAGAAGTATTTTTCTTTTCTTTCTTTCTTTTTTTTTTGGTTTTTAATTAGAAAACAAAGTATGAAAAAGGCTTGATATAGTAGGGTTAGAAGAATGGGTACTCCGTCCTGTCTAGCAGGGGAATATGGTGAAAGGAAAGTGGTAAAACAAAATTAGTAAATATGTAAAATACTCAAAAACACATTTTAACTTCAATTTATGAAAAGAGAAGACAAGAGGGCAAAAAGAGGGTAAAGGGGAGAGACAATTTAAGGATATTAGGAAATAAATACAGAAACATGCAAGTAGGGGGAGAAGTAGGTAAGGAATGATTAATGCTAAGGAGAAGGAAAAAATACACAGATATATCAAGAAAACAGGAGAGATAAATGGCAAGAAGGATGTTCAGAAAGTTCTAAAGTCTAGAGATTTTGACAGATATAACCAGAATACCACTAGGGTAAGGAGGTAGGATTTCATCCTGAATAAATGGACTATGACCCTACTAAGGTTACTCTTAAGTATTGAACTAAATCGTGCTAAAAGTGAGATATGTAAGCCTGTGTTTTCCTACAATGATGTAAGGCTTTCAAAAACTGATTCTTATTATAAATAACAATTTATGTAGACAAAGTCCTATTATATAATACAACAGCCCATTGTAAATGATCTTGCAATGTATTGTTATTTATTTTTCTAATTGTAAATTGACATGTAATAATTGTACATATTTATGTGATACGATGTGATAATTAAAATATCAATGAATGTTATGATCAAATAAGAGTAATTAGAATTTCCAAGATGAACATTTCTTTGTGTAGTGAACTTTGAAATATTTTCTCTAGTCCTTTATATGATATATAATAAATTATTGTAAACTATAGCCTTTGTATTGTGCTGTAGAACACTAGAATTTATCCCTTCTATCCACTTCTTTCCTATTATCAGACCTCCCTCTGTTCTCCTCTTCCTTACCCTTCCTAACGTATAGTGATCACTATTTTACTCTACTTCTATGAAATCAATTTTTCTAGGTTCAACATATGAATGAGAACATACAGTATTTTCATTCTGTGCCCTACTTATTCCATCCATGTTGTAGCAAATTGGTAGTATTTCATCCTTTCTTATGTCTGAATAGTATTCCAGTAAGTATATAAATCACATTTTCTTTATTCATTCATTCATTGATAGATACCTCAGTTGATTTAATATCTTAGTTATTGTGACTAATGCCTTACTTCTTCCTAATTATTACCAAAATGTTCCTTTTTTTCACTGAGATCTTCCCTGTCCTCTCACCCAACGCATTTACTTCTATTGTCTTTCTTATTTCTCTTCTTAGCATTCATCACTTTATTACAGTTGTTGCCTTTATTTATCTTATATGTAAACTGTTTCCCCAACTGAAAAAATAAGTCAGGGATTTTTGTCTGTTTTATTCACTGTTACATACTCAGCAATAAGAATGATAAGAATTCAAACAATTGAAAAGTCTGAGTCAGAAGTGGAGTCAGAGGTGTAGTTTAGCTTAGTTGCAGTGGATGGAATATTATGTGTCTTGATTGAAGCCATAGATTTCATTCATAGCAGAGCCTGGCCTGGATCTATCCATAGCTCTGGCATTCCAAATAAGTGCCCATTTACTATTACCATTCAGAGAACAACACATTTTGAAAAAGCCTCGTGGAACAAAAGCTTTGGGAATAATTCAAAAGATACGCTTGGGAGGGTAACTTAGAAAATATAAAACACAGCTATAATTTCACAAAATATTATTGCTAACTTCTCACAAATTTAATGTTGTTTTATGACTTAACTCATTGAACCATGGCCAATATAATTTCCCTTATAGTTGGTAAATATTCAAAAGCTCCTTCAGGAACTAGTGTAGGGAGGCCTTTTCTTTCCCTTCTTGTTTGAACAGATCTGTGTTTTGTGGAGTACTAGGATGAGTACTGATGAGGCTGGAAGGTATTCCCATTTCTGGTTTATGGAAGCAAGGATCACTGCCCACTGTTTGGAAGGGTGATAGCTGGTTATGAACTGGTTTGAGACATTCATTCTGACCCGGATCCTGTATGGAAGGTCCATTTCCATAGTCCTAAAGAAGCCAGAAGCACTGTGTCACATCTTCAGCATATGATTAATAAACAATAAATAGAAATAATGGCTGACATTTATGGAACTCTTCTTTGTGTGAGACACAAAGATAAGCAATTCATATATGATACCTAATTTAATTTGTAAATAATCCAGTAATGTAAGCATTGTTGTTTTTCTTTAACAAATGAGAAAGTAAAGGCTCACAAGGATTAGGTAACTTTGAATAGACCTAGTGTCTGAATAAATGATTTGAGTGAGACTTCCTGTATGAAGTTTAGAAGTTTAATAAATAAACTTTTAGGACTTCTGTTTTCAGGTTTTAGAGGTCTTTATGTTTAGTTTGTGGTGGTATTCCCTATAATTGAGGTGGTTGAGTAAGTGATTTTAAAAATAAATGAGGAATTTCTATAATTAATGTTTTATACAATGAGGAAAAAACTAGATACCCCAAGTATCATTTAAATGATGACTCAGCTAGTGCAATGAATACATTTTACCATGAATTGAGAATCAGTAAGCCCGAGTTCTGTGATTTGTATTGTGAACTATACAAATAATTTAATTTTTCTCAGCCTCAATTCTTCATCAGAATATTAAATAAACTGATTTCTAGGAACTTTTTTGGCTCTAATATCTTAAGAATTACCAAAATGATTTTAATTGATTTTTGTCTGTCTATTTATCTATCTATCTATCTATCTATCTATCTATCTATCTATCTATCTATCTATTATTTAAAATGTTGGCCTGACTAACAGATAAGAACTAGACTAGAGACTTGAGTCTCGTCAGTAGAAAATTACTTATTCTTTCTAGAACTACCTTAGACTATTACCAAGTCTAGGTTTCTTTGCCACTTAAAGTAATTTCCATCTACTGGCTCATATTGGGCTTGAAGCACTATTACTTATTTTTGTATAAAATATAACTACCATGAAATCAGTCTATACATAATCTAAAATAGGAGCATGACTAGGTAAATATTTTTTACTCTGTACCTACAAATTATCCTCTATCAGGCCATGATTTTAATATGTATAGGCAGTTATGTTTCCACTTAATTTTATGTTTGCTAGACTAGGTAATGTAAATCTGCTCAATGATTACACTTAAGTATTTGAGTTCTTAACTTCTTACCCACAGTCCTCTATGGTTATAATCTAAAATAGAGTACCCAGAACACAATGCTCCAAACAGCAGCATAGGTCCAGGAACAGAAAGATTACTGCTTTGTTGGTAACACTATACTTATATTCAAGTTTGTCATTAATATAGTTTGGAGCAGATGTTAGCTCATTTTAATCTTGTCTATTAAAAGTTCCAGACCTTTTTCAAATGAATTAGTACCAAGCAGACCTCTTCTATGCTTTTGTACTCGTGCAATTGCTATTTTGAAGCTGTATTCTCTTTCTTCAGTTTTATTTTGTTGGCTTCTTCCCAATATTGCAGCCAATTATTTAAAAAGTTAAATGTGAAAAATCAGCTATTCATAGATATTACTTAACTTTAGAGATATTGTCATCCTGTGAATTTCTAATGCCATAATTTTTGAGTTAGTTAATAAACTTTTAGAAATGCATGGAATGAACAATCCATAGACATAAGTAGGAGTTTATCATGCTCAATCACAAACTAGACTGACACTGCCATCATACAAATACCGTTGCATGGATCAGCTATGCATGTGTCCAAGTTGTGTGAGTCCATTGCACTGAAACACATTTAAAACATAAAGTTGTAGAAGAAATGTACCTTCTTAGAGGGAAATTAACTGTAAAGAAACATCATAATAGAATTAGAGTGAGAGAAAGAGAATTTATTGTATATGTCAAGACTAAGCTAACAAGAAACATTAACTAAAAATGACCAGTTTATTTCCCTTACTCTAACCTTTTCAAATTTCTTGAATGCCATATCCCCTCACTTTTTCTCACCCCAGAGCTCTATTCTTAGCTAGCCATGGTACTAGAAATCAATTTTATAAGTTAATATTATAATGGCTATTAGCTCAATATGCAAAATTTCTTAGAACTAGTGACCTTTAGTTGTGTCCCCTGGAAATATGATGCTAAATGTAGAGCAATTAGTTTCCAAAGGCACAATTTCAGGGGCTACATCAGGTAGGAGTATTGATACAAAAGAGATATTTTGGAGAAGAAAAATTTCCTCATGCCTCTTATTTCACACCATAGGCTTTCAATTAATTTCTCAATTTTCAAATCCAATTCAATAAAAATTAGTAAAATTGAACTTGCTATGTTAATAAACTCATCTAAATTTCCTATAAAACCTGTTAATAGGCAATTGCAGACCTTATATTCTGTGAACCATCCTAGTATTTCTTTTTCACAAGTGGGCTAAACTTGTTTGGAACATACAGCCAAACTAAAGGTACAGTCAACATATCTATAGCTAATTGAAAGTCACTTTGAAGAGACTCTCCCACCCTCAAATATATTGCTTTAGTCAGTGCTATCTGCATATGTGGAGGGGGAAATATTCAATTTCTCACCCAAATTGTTAAAATACAGTTTAATTCAGCCAAATTTTTAAGTCAATTTTGAATCCGATGAACTAGAAAAAGTATATTAAAAACAATTTTCTTAGGATTTCTATGTATTTGCTCCCAATATATTAAGGGACACTGTGGCTCATATAGCCTACCAAAATTAAATCAAGACGATATTAAAAACATAAACAGATCAGTAACAAGCCATGACATTGAAGCAGAAATAGATGAAAAAATCCTTAACAAAACTACTTGAATTTGGTTTGAAAGCATTTTATTAAGAATTTTGCATTTATGTTCACCAAGGATTCTGTCTATAATTTGTGTGTGTGTGTGTGTGTGTGTGTGTGTGCGCGCGCATGTGTGCACACATTCGTGTGTCCTTGCCAGTTTTGGGTAGCAGTGTAATACTGGCTTTGTAGAATGAGTTTGGAAGGCTACCTAATTTAAGACGTGTTGGTGTTAATTCTTCAAAAGTCTAGTAAAATCCAATAGTGAATCCATCAGACTTTTCTTTGTTGAGAGACTTTACATTACTGCTTCAAGATCTTGTATCTTACAAATTAAAAAAAAAAAGATCATACACAAAGATCAAGTTGGTTTCATACCAGGAATTCAAGTTTAATTCAACATGTGTAAATCAATAAATGTAATACATTACATAAATAGAATCAAGGGAAAAAATCATACACTCATCTCAACAGATACAGAAAAAACCTGTGATAAAATTCAACATCCCTTCATGATAGAAGTCTGGAAGACACTAGGTATAGAAGTATCATAGCTCAACACAAAAGGTTATATATGACAATCCTATAGTCAATATCATATAGAATGGGGTAAAATGGAAAGCATTTCCTCTAAAATCAGAAATAAGACAAGTGTTTCCACTCTCACCACTTTTATTCAATATAGTACTCAAAATTTTAGAGAAATCAGGCAAGGGAAGGAGGGAGGGGCTGAAGGGAGGGAGGAAGGGATACTAGTAGGAAAGGAAAAAGTCAAATTGTTGCTGTCAGCAGAGAATATGGTTCTATACTTAGAAGACTCTAAATACTCCATCAAAAGCCTGTTCAAACAAATATGTATATTTGCTGAAATATACATGTATGTATTGGATTATAATATCAAGAAGAAATTAAATACTGAAACCTTAATTTTACCAAAATTGTAGTCTATCTACACACACACTCTCACACACACACACACACACACACACACACACACACACACACACACACTTCCAAACTCAGTTATGATTCTTCTTTTATCTATGCTGACTATGCAATACATTCATTTACATTGATCTTTGGTGTAAAGATGAAATAAAACAAAATCATAGACCTAATCTAAGTTTGTCCAAATTATTACTTTCAAAGCTTTTCTAAGTTTTGGTACACCTAAATTTTATTTAGAATAATTTGCTGTTTTTAAAGCAATATTTACATAGCAATAAATATAGATTAAGCAAATCCTTTGCTTAGAAGAAAAAAAATAGGACATGTTTTGTACTCTCTTAGGCAATGGCTTTTTTCACATGTGGATCTTCCAACTGAAATTCGTGAAATGAGAGCCCAGGATTTAAGATCCTTTCAGAAATTGAAGAAGTTGGGTTCTAGAACTAGAGAAAAATATAGGTATTTGGGAAAACCTTCTCTCCATATGATATCCTACTTCACTACATGACATAGATTCAAAAATTGCTTAATAATATTAACCAGATTTTGAAACATTAGCTATCTAGTTCATTCACATTATGAAATTAATCTGTGAAAATTAAAACAAACCCTTGTTGATATTTATCTTTATACTTTTTTGTAAAAAGAATGTTTGGTAAAGTGTAAAGCTATTAGAGAACTGAAATGTTTTCTGGCACTTTAAGAAAATGTCTTATGTAAAATAACTATGTTTATCAGTTGTTATTATTTTTAAGCAATTACCTTAAGGAAAGCTTTCCTGGGTATTACCTTTTTGAAAGTGTAATAAAGAGATCTTAGTTTGGATTCAAATCCAAGATTCAACACAAATGCTATTAACTTTGGAAAATTAATCACTGTGAATCTTAGTTTCTTCACTATAGTGACAGGGATAATGTATAATTTATAGGGTACAATATTATTAAGATAATGCATATGTGTGAAGTACACCATAGGATATAATACAATGTATTAATGTTAACTATTATATGCTTTACTATGATAGGAACAAAATGATGATAAAATTAAATTTCTTTCAATATTTTAGATCTTCCTAAGTCAGTATTGTATTTAAATAGTATTCCTACCCTAGGGCTCCAGTTCATGAAACATTACTCTGATTAATAATTGTACTGCTAATATAATAATGACTTTCTGTTTCCTCTTAGAATTGTGGAAATGTGGTTTTTAAAGCCATCTTGAATAATATTCCTAAAATATGATAATGAAGTTAATGAAATGTTTGGTCTCCATTTATAATATCCATTACAATAAATGTTTTTCTTCGCACAC